TTCTGGACAATTTTCTATATCCATTCTTTTTTAATTCTCCTCACCAAAATTCAATTACCATGTAATAAATTCTTCTAAGAGTTCTTAATAAAACCTAGGCTCTGATACCATGTTATATGTGGTGGTACTCCGGGAATAAAGTCAGGTACAATATAGAAAGACATTTGGTACTCCATGTAAATTTATAACACAAGGTACTATTTTGAAAGCCCCTGGTACTATACTGAATGAAAACTGGTACTTTTCTTTTAAAAACAGGTATCGGGGCAGAAATGTAATTTAAACCTTAGAGGGGACCATAAAGTTGTTGACTAGGGAGTTGAATGGAAAAATTTTTCACTAGGGACTGAATGAGAAGATGAATTTAGGATTGGGGATTTATCTATACATTTCCCATAAAATATTTACTCTTTAGATTACCTTTAAAATATATATGAATCACATATTGCTATTGTGATCGATCAAAACATAAATCTTTATATAAATTTAAATATTTTTAAATTATCTTGTATTGTCTCATTCTAAGTTTTTATTCGCTCCTCTCCGTCCCTTTTAATTTGCGTTATTTGTTGTTATTAATTTCAATATTTCTATCATTCTCATTTTCACATGTGCCTCGAAATCTCTCATACACACATGCCCAAACAATCTTAATCATAAGCTTAACTTAATAAACTAAAAAAAAAGACTGCTTTATAAATTCGCCGTATATTGGTAGAGATAAATATAGACGTGACCACGGGTCGGGCCGGCTCGATTTGGTTGGGGTTGCGGTTTGGAGAATCAGCACCGTGGCTTTACGGGCCGTGTCTGGTTCTCCTTTTCTTTTTTTTTTGGTCCCGGCGGTCCGGGACCGGGCCGACCCTTGGATTTTGACGGGCCGGTTAAGGGGCCTTCCATGGAGACCCACCGTTCCGGTAGGCCGAGACGGGCCCGGACCTGGCACCTGGCCATGTCTAGATAAATATAAGAAACATAAATTAAAATTAGAAACAAAATATCTATACTTATATTAAAAGTTATACTATTTACTAAATGTAGTATGTAGAATAGTCAACTCTAATTAATGACTTGCTATTTTTATCAAGCATTTAATTAATACGTCTAATATTTTTGGTATGCAAATCAAATTAGCATTTAATTAGTTCATAAAATATTGAGTATGCAATATTAATTTAGGAATATCCATGTAGTTTCTAAAATGTTGGTATGCAATACATAAAAGAAGATTTTTTATTTTTTTTTAAATATAAACTATTCCAGTTATCTTTTATTTTATTTTACATATAAAATCTAATCAATATTTAATGCATCCTACAAAATTGGATTTAATTTAACTCTCCATACAATTGGTTGTAACTTTTTCAATTGTACTTTTTTTATTTATTTATTTTACACTTTTAAATTAATGAAACTCTCCGAAAATACCAAATCAAATGATTTATGAAAGTTTTTTTTTTTTTTTTTTACAATTTTAAATCTATATAACCAACTTAAAAAACTCATCGCATAGATATGGACGAGTTTAAGAAAATTTCATAACCCATCTTATAAAATTCCATCTCCACGAGTCAAAAAAATCACATCACTCATCTATCGTAATAATTTTAAAGGTAAATAAATAAAAGTCTATTACTACTATAAATCCATTATCTATATAGATTTTTTAAAATCTAAATTTCACATGTCTAATTACTAATATTTTAGATACTTTTAAATATTATTTGTATAAAGTTTTTTACACATTTGCTCTCTCAATATATATACATATATGGAGGTTAAATGAAAAAAATTTAAACATATTTTTCTTACGGGTAGTTTAAAAAAATTTAGGTAGCTTCAAACATTATTTGTGAATAATATAGAATATTTTATATGCTTTTATAGATGTTATAGAATATTTTAAGTATTTTTAATATTTATATATCACACTTAGAAAGAATAATTTGCCAAATAAAAACATTAAATACACATTATAAATGTTAATAGAAACATTTTTCAGTTTTCGTCTTTGATTTTGTCAAAACAAATCTCATAAAATCGGTGAAGTCAAAATTTGTACTTAAAGTCTATCTATACTAAAAAAATGTAGATTCAAAATTCTTTATCTAATTTTTTCTTTTCCTTATCTAATTCCTTTTTATTATCTAATTATATAGAAATCGGTTCTTATTTTGTTCAATCCTCTAATAGTATTTGTATTATATCCCATCAAATCGGTTTAACAAAAAAAATCTCATAATATCCGATAAGTAAAAAAAGTACGTAAAATCTTTACTAAATAAAAAAAGGCTTTATTTATTATCTAATTGTATGGAAATGTGTTCTGATTTTATAGTACGTGCTACAAATTGTGCACCCGTGTTCAGGAGCTACTTAACGGGCAAGCTCTGTGGAAATACCTCATTTAGTGCTTTTGTCCCGTGCATACGATATGTATTTGTATTACACATACTAGAAAATTGTGCACTCGTGCATCACCCGTGTTCACATTTTGGCCTATTACAGGTCACGTACTATATATATCCCGTGCATTTTTTTTATTCATTTATATAATTATAAGATTTAATAAATGACCTTAATTTTGTGCATCCCGTGCATCGCACGGGATCTGTACTAGTTTTAAATTACTCAAAAACTTATCGGTACAAGATTCTTTATCCAAGTGATTTCTAGTTCTTTCATTTTTTAGTAAAGTAACAATTCGAGGGGAAACAAATATCGCTTGCTTGGGCCTTCACAAGCCCATAATTATTGGACTTCAATTGTATCAGGAAATATAAGATGGGCCTTGACCCCAATATGTCGATTTTATCTCGTTTCTATTTCTTCCCCAAAATAACCTTCCCGAATTTTATTTTTATTTATTTTTTTCAAATCCCTAAAAGCCGAGTAATCTCAATACTCCATACCCGTGGCCGGAGTGAAATGGCGCTGACGAATTTTATACTGACAGTGGCCGGAGTGAGTGCCGTGGTGTTGCTGTTGAGGAGCGATGTGAAACAATCAGCCGCCATCTTCCGCCGTAACGTCCGCCATATCCGTGGCTGGCTTGAAGAAGAGTCGTCTGCTGCCGCTAAGTACTGCCGTTAAAACCCTCATCCGTTTATCACATTTAAGCATTATTCAATTAGCTTCTGTTTCATGGAAACCATAAAGAAATGGCTGATTTTACCTTTGAATACAAATTGATTATGTTATTAGCGTCTCCTTAAAGCCCCGAGCTTTTTCCTTTTTCAATTTGCAGTAATGGTTGATGACTCTGGTCAGTGTTTGCTAGATTGATTGGTTTAAAATTACCTAAAATAGTGCTATATGGTTTTAACTTTTAATCCATGGTAGTTTCATATGTGCTGCTGCGGACTTGAGTTTCTTCTGGTATTTGTTGCAGGGAAATCGAGAAGTCGAAGCCAAAGGAAATGCCCGGAAAAGATGCTCCCAAGGAGGAAAAGCACTAATATTAGATACTCTTCATGTCCAAGTAAGTCTATACATTTGAAGTTTGTCCCGAAATGTAACTCTATGTAGTGCTTGTGGAAACTGTTGCTTATAGTTTCAAGGATACTCTGTTTTTTCAGAATAAAATCTGTCTCGTTTGCTTCATTTTTACCGTCTTGAGCTTGTGCATGGTGATTTTTTCCTTCTTATTCCGAATGTTATGGTAATTCTGCTGTTAGTTGATAGATCATGTAGTTCCTTCTTTGGTTGGACTTTCACTCTAGGCATTGATTAATGAATGAACCAGCAGATTTGGTTGTTAATTTACCCTAATTTCATTTTATTTTTTTCATCATACTTTACGCACCTTCCACGTTTAATCTAGGTTCATATGTCCATGTATCGAGTTTAAAGAGAAAAATGTTCGCCTGTGTATAAATGTTGTTGAGCAAAAATGTTCATCAAGTCAAACTTACTGGTTCCAGCGAACGAATAATCATTGAGTCACGATATGGGATAGAAAGGAGTAAACATAGCAATGCACTGTTTTATAAATACTTCCAAGGTTGATCATCTCCTTTTCGATGTGATGAAAATTATCAACTAAGTTAAATATTCAAGCATGAACAGTGCAATAACTGGAAATAAAACCCAATACTTCTGACATTATATTCAACAGGAATAGCTTTGGTTCTTGACATTAATAGATAGGATTGTATCTTTGCAGCTGATATAAATTCATGAAAATAAAAACAAAACCAATAATCAAACACACCAGTAACATCCATTACATAATTATACTCAAACTTCATACACAGGATATGCTTCCAGTTTATTTTTTTATCTATTTGATTTCGAAATTCACACCGAAGATGAAAAAACCACACGAGCAAACTCCACACTGACACATTATAGATGATGAGGACTTCTTGCTTTTGCTCTCAGTCTATCTGCTTCTACAGCTCCAAGACCAAGTCTATAACAATGAGAGAGAGAGAGAGAGAGAGAGAGAGAGAGAGAGAGAGA